TATACTGCAACATTGTCTTCTCTCTCTACCGATTCGCTCTCGAAACCCTAGATTTCGCGATGTCCCATGCTTCATCACCTGCAAAATGTAAGTCTTTTCAATAATTTTTCTTCTACGTTTCAGTTTAATCGTCCGTTGAAGTTTTCCTTCTTCGTCTTCTGTTTTGATTTTATGGCCAAACCCTAGAATCTGAGGTTTTCTTTAGAAGTAGGTTGATATGCGATGAAATGATTTATTTAGAGAATAAATTTTTGCTTCAGGTCATCATCGAAGATTACTACAGCACATATGATAAGTCTCGGCGGCAGTAGATTGAGATTTGGCACAAAAGCTACCATTCTGAAAGGTTGAGTTACTACCAGTAAAACATATCAGCTGGGATTGAGGTTGAGTTGTTGTGCTTCTAAGGGTTCTTCTGATGGTAAGAGCAATGATGGTTCTCCAACTTTGGAAGTTTGGAAGCAATGGCATGAGACAACTAAAGAGGTTAATGTTGTAAGATCGAGAGACCTCAATACTCAGAAGGTTGTCGATTTATCAGTAAGATTGGAAGAACAAGCCGAACTCAGGTGGAGCTAGGTAGCCAAACTGATTAATGTCATCAAATCAAATGTGGATGCAGAGCCAAAGGCTAAAGAAGCCATGCGATCTGAACTCAACATGCTGCTACAATTTGCCGAGCAGGCACAGTTAAGATCAAGGGAAGTTAAGGAGCATCTCACAGATTTGCTTGTTATTGGGGAACAAACACTCTCGGTTGAGCAAGAAGCGGTCGAACAACTGAATCTTGCAAAGAATGCTTTCGAACGATTGGATAAGCCTCTATTGGGCTTTGATTCAGAGAGGTTGAGTGCATAATTCGGTCAACTAATTGAGGCAAAAATATATGTTGTGTATATATTTTATTCTAAATTATTGAAAGTTAGTCAACATAATTTAAACTATATTTGTTGACCAACATTTTAAAAAAAATGTTTATTTTTTTTTCTTACAAATTAATTGGTTTCAAAATATATAATTTTGGAACTCAATATAACTTACATTTTCAATTTTTAGAGATTCATAGTTATTTGTAGTTTTAGAACCTCTGGGATTTTACAAATTTAATTTTTCTA